TGCTTGAAAACGTGTGTTTTGTACCCAAACTGGTGTAACCCAGAAGTGTAGAGAGGAAAGGAGAGGGAAGAAAGCTTTCAACTTATTGGGGCAGAGATATCTAAGAAACTGCTGTCGACACATGGCTCCTACCATTTCGCTTTGAACCCTCTCAATGACTCCTTTCTCCTCGTTACCAAATTGCCACTCGTCCCCGGGGATGTGAAGCCAACACACATTAGGCCATTTCCAGCCGTCTGCACACATTCAGGGGCTTCCACTGAACAACTCCTCCTGCATTCTGTTGACTGTCTATGGCATAATAATTTTCGACCGTTGATAAAGTGCCTTATCTCGTCTCTGAGGCGTCTCAAATCGCTTCATAGAATACACTCTCAAGTGTTGTGACCGTGTATTGGTTGGGCGGCGAAACTCGAGAACGAACCGTGGACCGCAGAGTAGCTCGAAGAGTCGTGGATTGAGTGACAATCTTTTTGAGGGATCGATAGCCCTGTAAAGCGATCCGAAGATCGACTCGCAGTCGGGTTCCTGTTTACTGTCCATTAAAGAGAGACGCGTGGAATAAGGAAAACTGCCTACGGTTTTAAAGGCAATTTTCGTTTCTTCATTAAAGCGCTGAAAGATTGGCTATGAAGCGCGAATACACTTTTTTCTTCATCCTCCTGCAAGCTGCCGTGTTCCTCAGGGGTGAGTGTGCTTCACAGATAAACCCCGCTTGGGATTTGTGAGACATTTCATTTAATTCGAAAACAATTAACGAGTGAGTTTCATTAACAGATTTTCTTTCATTTACCAGGAGTCAGTGGTCAGGAAAAAGTCTACCAATCGCCACTCTCTGTGACTGTTGGGGAGAAGGAAAATGTGCTTATCAATTGTTCCGCAAAAGGAACGACTCAAACTTTACAGTGGTACAGACAGTATCCGAACCAGGCTCTCAAACACTTGGTAACAGGAAAGACAGGAGAGCAGCAGAAGGAGAGGATCACAGCAACAATGAACTATAAAGAGAAGGGCAGTAATCTGAGCATCACAGGCACAGAAGTGACAGACGCCGCCACCTACTTGTGTGCAGTGGAGACACAGTGACATAATCACATAGAGAGGCCGTACACAAACCCGCAGTGATCAGTCAGCAATTCCCCTCTTGTTCATCACAATAACTGCTCAGCACTCACCGCACTAAGTTTACCTCAATTTCCTTGTTGATGACGGCCTGTTCGTGTCACGTATGCAGGGCTTTGCTGTCCTGTAATATTGTGGTTATAACACTCGCCTTGCAAACGAGAGGACCTGGGTTTTATTGACGGTCATGAGAGCGCTAAACCCGACCCAAGCTTCCTTTATTTACACGCTCGCCGCTGTTTATCGAACTATAAGTATGAAATTTTGGCAATACCCCAAAAATGTATTTAATAACAATCATTAAAACATGTTTCACAACTAGATATTTGTGGCATTGCTGTGCACAATTGGCTGCGTAATTTATCCGCAAATCATACTGTCAATTTACTCTACGTTATCGAAACACAAAATACTGCAGATGCTGGAATCTGAAACAAAAACAGAGAGAGCTGGAGATACTCAACAGGTTAGACCCCATCTATTGAGAAAGTAAAGTGAGTCAACGATTCCGGTCACCGACTCTTCGTCATAACTGGGTACGTTGGGTGGGAAAGAGGTTTCTTAGGACAATTTAGGGACAAATCCTGTCTCCCACTCTCAACTTGTCCTTATATTACTTTACATTATATTCGTCGAGGCACTTTCGGCCGTCTAAAAGATGCGATAAGATGTTGTATCAAATGGAACGATTAACACGATATTTCTCCGCTTGATCTGGATTTGAATAACCATAATCAAGATGATGGGTTTCCACATGTGACAGATTCCCAGTTAACGAAAATAAATGGTAAATTATGAAGTCTGATTCTGCGAACTACACAGAACAGTGCAATGACATGAAGCTGTGAATTAGGCCAGAAAACGCTTTGAACATACAAACCAACCTGTTTTTTACCCAAATGGCTGTAACCCGGAAACAGAGACCGGAAAGGGGCGGGAAGGAAACTTTCAACTAACTGGGGCAGAGACATCTGAGAAACTGCTGACTTCACGTGGATCCTCCCTTTTCGTTTTGAACCCTCTCAATGGCTCGTTACCAAATTGAAAATGTGCCCCCGGGGATGTGAAACCAACACACATGAGGCCATTCACGAGCCGTCTGCACACACTCAGCGGCCTCCACTGAATACCTCGTCCAACCTTCTTTTTGAATATCTATCTGATAATAATCCTTGCCATTTGATACAGCGCGTATCAATTAACGAGACACCACAAATCGCTTGACAGACAATACTGCAAAGTTAGTGACTGCGTATTTCATGGGCGAAACTCGAGTACGAATTGGACACAGCAGAGATCCTCAAACAGTCGTGGATTGAGTGACAATTTTTTTTCAGGGACAATTTCAACTGGAACGGTATCTGCAAATCGACTAACAAGCAGGTTTCCTATCTATTATTCGGTAGACAGAAGGGCTTGGAATAAGGAAACCTGCCTAAGGTTTAAAGGAAACGTACATTTCTTCACTAAAGCGTTGAAAGATGGCTATAAATCGCGAATATACTTTACTCTTCATCCTCCTGAAAGCTGCGGTGTTCCTATGGGGTGAGTACGTTTCACCGATAAACCCCGCTTGCGCTTTGCGAGAAATTGTATTTAATTCGACCGCAATTAACGAGTGAGTTTTATTTACAGATTTTCTTGTATTTACCAGGAGTGAGTGGTCAGGATACAGTCTCACAGTCGCCACTCTCTGTGACTGTTTGGGAGAAGGAACAAGTGTTTATCAGCTGTTCCACAACAGATACCAGTCAGACCTTACAATGGTACAGACAGTATCCGAACCAGGCTCTCACACACTTGGTAACAGGAAAGACAGGAGAGCAGGAGAAGGAGAGGATCACAGCTACGATGAGCTATAGAGACGGGAAAAGTAATCTGAGTATGAGACACACCGTAGTGACAGACGCCGCCACCTATTTGTGTGCAGTGGAGACACAGTGAGACAGTCACACAGAGAGGCCGTACACAAACCTCCAGTGATCTGCCAGGAATTCCCCTCTTGTTCATCACAATAACTGCTCAGCACTCATTGCCTCCCAGTTTCCCTCCATTTCCTTGTAAATGACGGGATGTCCATGTCATGTCTGCAGGACATGTGGTGTCATATAGCTCAGTGGTGAGAGCGAAAGGACTTTGTTAGATTAGGGACAGATGGCTTTTACAGGGGTAAAGTTTCCTTCAATACTGATAACAAATTAGTCACTCAACTCAATGGGACACTGATGCGAACGATTGGCTGCGGTGTTTCGCTCACACAATGTGCAGCCAATTCGTATACAGTGTAATATGTGAAGTAGTTTGCGGCGTCTGGAAGGTGTAACAATATACAATAGCGAATGAAAAGATTATAATTATAATTAAATTTAATCATGTTATGGTCGCAGTAATAATCTCGAAGTCTTGCTTTCTGGGGCAATGCCACCACATGTACGAGCCTTTCTGTGGGGTATTATTCAGCAGGATATCATCAAACACAAGAACTCATATTCAAGTACTGCCGTACAGAATGGGAAATAAAAAATAGGATGAAAAATATTTGCCATCAAATGTCTCCAATTGTACAAGTGATGTAGCTGCAATTCACCAGCAGAAGGCGAAACAAACACATTTACAACATGAGCTGCAACTTGTACAACTTTTCACTTTCCTTTCTGCAACTATCTTCCTTGGCAACACTAACAGCTGCTTCCTGTTACATTTAACATTGGTTCACTCATACAATATTGCTGCTTCAGCTGAAATATACAAAGTTTTCTCCGAAGCATAAGTAACAAAAGATTTAGTTTACTCAAGAAGCAGCTTCTGTGTCACTTTTTCTAGATTATTGCCTGTCTCCCAAATAACCAGTCGCCCTTAATCCGATCTCTCTGCTGTATAATGCTTCTCTCCTGAAATGTTGTCGATTTGGCTACCACCACGCTTTCAGGCAATATATTCATGCAGTATACTGTGGGAAGCGCTTTCAGACGCCTCACCGGCATCACATGTCAAAGGAACAAATGCAAACATATATATTATTATTCCTGGTTCACGGTAACATTTATATTGCGGTGTCTTACCACTGGGTGTCTCTCGGGCGCTGAAATTCTGACAAGACACCACTGGCTTGAAAGGCTGTGAAAAATGGTTCAATAAAGCATATTCCTTCACAACTCTTCTAACCGTTTTCAGAAGGTTGCTAACCGCATCCAATTGCTTGGATGACACTTTCCATTCTGAACAACAGATATACTCGAAAGGTAGATTATTGGAATCAAAGTTTGTTACAAATTGTGAGGGATCAGTCGACATAATGTACGGGTGTTTCAGGATTCTCTGACTGTTCTGCTCCCACGATTAATGAAAAATCTATTCCATATATCCGAATCAATCCTAAACCTGGTTTCTACAGAATCTTGAGATTTTTGGTATCTCTTTTCCAGAAACACAAATTTCTTCATACAGTATTCCTGCAACTCGACCGATTATCAAGACCTGTGCTCTTTGCCAAAGCACATCTGGGTCCTATAGGTTGGTGGTTAGACCATTAGCCTCGCATGCAGTGGAGATTCACAGCATTGAGCAATTCTGCGCAAATTTGCTGACTGCACACGCTTCTGTTTAACCGACCAGTAAATAGGAACCCGGTTATCAGCCGAATGGCGAACAGTTTGCCAGGGGAATAACACCGTAAGAAAGTGGTAAATTGGTCATGCATTCAAGGACTGTATGCGTGGCACAGCTGTGTGCATCAGGCTGCCGAGGTTCACTCTAAAAGCACAGTCAAGTTATTTTACCGTTTTTTCCACAGACAATGCGAGACGTGTCCACGACCTGATAAGGCACTTAGTATTATTATTATTTGTATACTTTGTTGAGTCTTTGTACTCAGGTCTCTCTGCACTGTCTCTTTGATGCGTTACTATTGTTTGCCCCAGCGAGGAGAAGTGAATCTGAATGTAAACGGTAGGGGGAGTCGCAATGCACCTCCACCAAAGATCACAGACAAGATAATGACGCCGGGATAAGAGACAACTCCTGAAATGGAGAAATGCTTATCAACCAGACGCTACGTTTAGATAAATTCTCGTTGCCTTTCAACGGAAGATATTGACGTGAATCGACGGCAGTTGAGAATGAAGCAGAATCACAATGCGAAATATATGATTTTGAATGTAATAGTATTCCTACGGTGTGAGTAGATGATGGTTGTGTGCAAGCAAATGCTTTTATTTCCTGATAAATAATTACAAACTGTCGTGGCAGATGTTTTCCGAATTCCTTTCCAAAAATATTCATTTCTACTTTCTTTCCAGGTGTCTTGGCTGCAAGTGATGTCTCCCAGACACCTCAGGCCGTGACAGTGAATGAAAATGGAAATGTTTCAATGGAATGCATCGCCACTGTGACCAACTCTCTCTTTCAGTGGTATCAACTTTATGGAAACGGCTCCATTCGGTTCTTGGTTTTGGGAAAAACCGACGTAAATATGAAGGACAGGATAAGAGCTTTGGCTGATCGAAAACATAAAAAACTGTACGCTTACAATCGAAGATGTGCGAATATCAGACACCGCCATTTACTTCTGTGCGGAGGGCACAGTGCTGTGTGTCTAAGAGGGACCTGTACAAAAACATGTTAGGTTTACTGCAACTCAATGGTTAGAGCCCTCGCCTCGGAAGCGTGAGGGCCTGGGTTCGGTTTCCGTCCTGGCAAAATGTTGTGCTAGTTTTCTTACTGCACATTCGTCTGTTTACCGCGCAGTGTGTAGCAACATGTCTGTTAGTTGACTGGCAGATCGCTTTTCCGGGGCTAATAATTGCTTTAAAAAGAAAAGAGAAATTCACTTCATTCCACAAGATTATGTGGAACACTGCTGGGTGCATTCGGCTGCCGTATTTATCCCATAACAGACACAGTCAATTCCCTACACAGTACAACCTACGAAATGCTGCATAATGTCACGAAGACGTGATCAAGGACTGTATCAAATGCAACGTTTATTATATCTGTATTGCTTTACTGAGTCGCAAATAGGAACCCGGTTGATAGGAGTTTGGATAATCGCTTTTAGTCGATTATAAAAGTTGATCACTCGATCGAAGACTGTTTGCGAGACACTGCTGTGTGTACGTAGCTACAAGTTGTTGTCTACAAAATACACTGTCGATACACTGTTTCCTGCGAAGTTCGTATAGACTACTCGAAAAAGTGATCAGGTTTGATATGAAAGGCATTGGCGATTATTATAACACACAGGTTGGTTTGGATATTAAAAAANGAATGGCTATGGGTGTCCCCACATGGGTCAGACACCGGTTAAGAAAAATAAATGTGAATCTGTGAAGTCTCATTCATCGAAATAAATAGTACAACGCAGTAACTTGTAGAATTGAATGATGCTAAGAAACTTGTGTTTTGTCCCCAAACTGCTGTAACCCAGTAGCCTTGAGCGGAGAGTGGCAAGAAGAAAGCTCTCAACTAATTGAGGGTGAGACAGCTGAGAAACTGCTGAGGAAATGTGGCTCCTAACCTTTCACTTTGAACCCTCTCAATGCCTCGTTTCACTTCGTTACCAAATTGACAGCTGCCCCCGGGGATGTGAAGCCAACACACATTAGGTCATTGTCTTGCCATCTGCACACACTCAGAGGCTTCCACAGAATACCCGTCCTGCCTTCTTTTGATTATCTATATTACAATAAACCTTGACATTGAATAGAGCGAATAATTTCGCCTCTGAGATGTCTCAATTTGCTTCACCGAATATACTCTAAATTATATTGGCTGTGCATGTTGAAGGCGAAACAGGATATTTATACCCAGAAAGTAAATCAGCAATCGACTAACTACCAGGTTCCTACCTACTGCGCGGTAAACAGTGTTGAGGGTGGAGTAAGGAAATTTAAACAACAGTTGGCCATGCCGGTAATCGAACCGACATCTCTCGGTGTGTGGCGAGGGCTTTAATCCGTGAGCTACAGAACTCCACAGATGGCATATATATCCTCATCTCATGTTTGAACTTTTGATAAACTTAAAAATGGGTGTAATTTGTTGCAGGTTTCAGGCACCCGATTGAACAAAGACATATCAGTGATTTGAGAGAACCAATGGAGGAGCGATATGGCAGAGCAGAGAAAATGACGCATAATGACACAGACACAAGGTTTGGGCATAACCCTAAGACCTGCTCACTCACAGTAAAAAGTAACTTCTGTTGGTTATTTCCTGTTCATTCCTCCACACGGTATCTTACAGCCTCCCAGCCAACATTTTCCAACAACACCATCAACCCTCCCTCAACGCCCTGTGCCACTAAATACATATGACGATGTACATCTCTGTGGTAGCAGTGATCATTACCCTATCAGGTAAACCATAAACTAACTCTACCCGCCTGTTTCCTGCATATATTATCAAATGTTTATATTTTATTTATGGCTTTTATGAAATTCTCTACCGCAAAAGGCTGCGGATGCTCAGTCCATGTACAGGTTCAAGACAGAGATTGATAGGTTTCTAAAAGATAGAAGGATTAAGGGATATGGAGATAAACTGTGCGACTTGCGTCTATATCGAATCCAAGTACTAATACAAATATTATTATTGCTGTTGATCGCTGATGTGTGTGTGTTCCCAGGACATTGTGGAGGAGATTCTGTGACACAGCTGCAATCTACTGTGACAGTGAATGAAGGGGAGTTTGTTTATCTGCAGTGTAATTATACAGCTGCAAGTACCACCAATAACTATCTGTTCTGGTACCGTCACTTTCCCAACAAATCTCCAGAATTTATCCTCAGCACATCCTCCAACAACAGG